ATGGCTCGATAAAATGAAAACTGAGTTGTCAAACTACGAAATGACAGAGTTGTCCACATGAGAAAACAGGAAGAGGTTTAAACAGAAATTTGACAGATGCTAAGACACATTTAGTGGAAGGTGGAGACGTGCGGTTAGACTGACCGGATGTAAAATTTGTGTAAACATAGCGTTTAATTTAATTTGTTAACTGTTCACTATTTTTATACCCGAGTGCATTTGTTCAGAAGGGTAATATTACTTTGTTATTAATAACATTTCCACTTACCTTGAACATATCTGCAAAGCGCAGCGATAAACGGATATAATACTAACCACGAAGTGCAAAAACAACGTTAATATTAAACCGGAAGCAGCTGACACTTCACTGTTTGCATTCAACAGGTCAAACTAATGGAGGAAATAATGTTGTAATTAATGTACGTATTAAGCGGCTGTTAAAAAAACTTTTGCTTCACCTTTTCCTCCAAGCGATTCACATCCCTGGAGAGGCCCACTCCCGAAACGGCCAACGCCAGTGTACTGGTCGCTATGCACACCAAACTCAACGCCAGGAAAGCAGTCTGGGTCTTTCTTATGCTAACCACACCCAGCGAACCCGTAATGGCGGCCACCAAGCCCGTCCAAATACCACAGCCCGCCGTAGAAAGCGCTGCTTCGCGCACAATCAGCAATGAACCCAGCGCCACCAGCGTAATGGCCAACATTAACTGCAAAGTGCCCAAAACGATTTGCCATGGAAAGGCTGAACAACAGTCGGCGCTGGATTTGGCACGTCTATGATATTTCGCCGAGTTCGATGAGCTGCCGTCGCCATCTTTGATTTTAATCAATTCCGGTGGAAAACGCTGTTTCTTACTTATACGCGAATCAAGTGTGTTGGCACGCGCAGCCATTGTTGCCTGTAGCTGTTGTTGGAACTCTTCGTGTGTCATCAGTTTTGACTTCTTTGTGTCATCGCCATCGCCATTGCCATTGCCGTTACGGCTGTTGTTAGCTGTGACGGAAGCGATCATAGTGGCGGCTGTTAATTTCAGTGGTGGTTTTTGATCATAAACAGGACTTGAGTAAATGTGGCTTTGTGCATCTGCGTGCAATTGTTGCACTTGTGTTTGCGTTTGCTGTTGCTTTTGTTTTCCCAATCGCTGGCGATGCTCTTCTGTATCACTACAGCCGCTGCTATTTTGTTGTAAAATAGATTTTTGTGAATTGGTGAGACTATCGTGTTGGTCATTTGTCGTGTTCGTGCTCTGCTCAATGGCTGCCTGCATGAGCTCCTCGCGATTGATGCTGCGATCCACAATCGTATCCATGCTATCGATAGTGGAGTCGTGCGAATCGATTGTGCGTGCTGGTGACTCTGATTGCCGAATCATGTCGCTGTTGGTGTTGGTGTTGGTGTTGACGTTATTGCTATTGTTGTTGTTGTTGTTGTTGTTGCTGTTCATGTTTGCGCTGCTATTGTTGTGATTGCTAGTGGAAATACCATTGAAATTGCTGCTGTTGGCATTCATGCCTTCCATGTTGTTGCGGTGCGTTTTTGTGAGTTGTTGTTGCAGGCGCTAGCTGGTCCAACTTACGTTAATTACTCATTTATGCTGTTTCAGGTGGAATTCGAGCGTGCGGTACTTATGCTGCCGATTGCGGTAGCGGAATGCCACTGGCGACTGCAAGAAATTAAAAAAAATAAATTAAATTAATTATTAAATTGATTATAAACGATAGCTTGTGGGCATTTTTGGTTTGCGAAATTTATATTTTCCGCATAGCATTCGATCGAAGTTAGGAATTGAAATTAAAACTTTATTTGTGCAGCTGTATTTTTTTGTAATTATGACTAGTGATCACTGTCAAGGTTTCTTCTCTTCAAAGACTGATCTATAATCAAGTATTCATTAAAATTTCTTTAAATTAAGTTTATGTTTTAGTTAACATATTTTTTATTCGCTATTCATGAGAAATGCATAATTTTTAATGGACGACGCAAGGTTGCGAAAACTCAATGTTGGATTTGTGTTGGGAGAGAGATTTTGGCATCCCCGTAGACGAGCGTATAGCGCCAACCGAAGCAAAGTGAGATTCTTGAACATCTTGCGAATTCGCACCATAACCACATCAGGTCGAACAGTCTGAAGGCAACAACTCGGCATCCTTTTCCACATGCGCTTTAAAATAGTATTATGAAACGAAGCAACCGGGAACTAATATTCCTTCGAGAAAGTACTTCAAGCTGTAATCCTGAATTTGTACCCTGACGGCTTGAAACCTCCAGAAGGAATAGCGGTGGGTGTTTTCGGTCCCAGAGCTAGAATGTCTGTTACTATGTCGTCGGATTTAGATCTAGAAGACAGGTTGTGAAGATATTTATCTATCTGCAACTTCAGCACAGCAAAACAATTTGCAAGAACGGCTCATCTTCGGAAAGGTACCATCATCGCAGAAAAGCGACAGGGAAAAAGGCCAAAAATTTACAAGATAGCTAGACAACTTACGGAAAGTTCTAATGCTAGGCCAAAACCGTGCACAATCGAGTCCCATGACTTAGTGACTGATCTCTAGATCTTTCACAAATTGTGTAGCGATCACACCTGAAATTTATAAAATAATCCACGTTTTTATGTGACAACATAAATATACACACTACGAAATAGATGACAAGTGGAAAAAGGCGGTTAAAGCTTTAAAACAGAGATGGGAAATACAAATTTCTATGAATCGTTGCAGCCACAAATTTTCGATATCCTGTTTATTTTTGTTTAAAAATTTCATTCTGCTGACGCAATTAGTAGATCTTATCGATTTGTATACATACTTTCAATTCAATACATTTTATAGAAACTCATACCAAACGACACCCATTAGCTTCCTAACCATATCAACTTTGAAGATCATTTATCAAAAAATAGCTGAGTTAATTTGAAAAAAAAAACAAGTTTTGTTCGCATAGACATACATTCAGTGCAAAATACCACACTTGTAGATCATTTCAAATCACAAATAAGAAATAAACTGGTGTAGCAAATTAAACGCAGCCGTGCTCAAGGCGAGCCGAAACTGAAAAAATCCAATTTAAATACACACAAGTCACAATGGCGAAACTAATTTGCCACTAAGAGCAAAATTGCCACT